GGAGTTCCTGAAGCTGGTGGCCGCCATACTTATAACAGGAAACTCTTCCTTTTCGGAGGAAACCTGAGCTTGCCGGCGGCCCTTAGCCGGAACACAAAGCTCGGGGGTTTGGGGGGGGCTTCAAGCCCAGCTGTCCCCTTCGCAACGCCTTTTCCCCCGTTTCTCGCGGCTTCTCTGCCCAACTGGGAGCACCCCGAGGTGCCATGTAATTGTCTGCTGGGACAGCCCTGCTGCTGATTAAAGCTGTTTAGTGTGCACTGCGCCTGGTCTGGTCTCTCGGGGGGGGCAGGGAGAGCGGGGGGGGGGGGGCTTCGGGGTGTTGGAAGAAATGTCCATCTGGGTTCAGTTACAAGTGAGGAAAAAGACACTGGAATATATGGAGACAATTGGGAAAGATGGTTTAATGGTGGACAGGATCACATGGTTTGAGATCCCGGTCAAAAAAGGCACATGGAGTGGAGAGAGAGAGAGATTTATACCTCTATTGGGATTTGAATTTGAGCTCGTATTCTGATTGGTGGTCAGGCTCCCATGGGACCATGCAGGGGTAACTTGGTAGGTTGTCTGTGTCCTAGGCTTGGTTGACTCCTGCGGGGTGATGATGTAATGAAAGGGCTTTGGGCAATTCCTAGTAGGGCTCTGCCTGAAGGACGTAGATCTTTGTTATGTAGAATAGGCTGGCCCAGGCCTTAATGATCCATTGAGAAAGGTGGGGGGGGGCTGATATTCTGCCCCTTTTTTAATATTTCCTAGAATATTTCATTTTTCTAGGAGAGGGGTGGGTGCTAACTTCCTACAAGGGCGTTAGGGAAGAGGGGTAGAAGGCAGTCTGGGGCTCTTAAGGCAAGAGGGGAGCCTGGGGAAAGCAGGGAGATGGACCCAGGGACATAGGGAGGAGTCTGGAGTCTGGTTTTGCGGGCGCACTCACAAAATGGCCCTGGAGGATCCAGCCTGGCCTAAACTGATTTTGGTCACTGTTTAACCTGTTTAACCTGGAACAAAGTCAAGAGCTCGATTCAATAATTCATGCCATGTTCTTGCATGATTTATGCTGAAATAATTTAGATGTCCTCTGAGTTCCCAGCCCGTAATGGCGCCTCTGTTCTCGTCTGATTATGGTTTCACAAAAAACTTTATTAATCATATAAAAGCAAAATAATACACCATGTGTATACAAAACACATATATATCAATATAAACAACACTACATCAAAAGAAAAAGTGACTTTGATCACATATCCATTCTGTTATTGACGGTGCATTTTTTAAAAAAATTTTTTGTTATCATTCAGAATTTTGCATTTGCCCTCATTTCTCCGAGTTATCCAATCGTACCATCTATTCCATACTATACAATATTTTGAGTCTGCCTCATCTTTCAATTTGAAGGTTAATTTATCCATTTCCACACAATTATAGATTTTTTGAATTATCAGTTGGTTTGTTGGTAGTTGATCAGTTTTCCAAAATTGAGCTAGCGCCAATCTGGCTGCAGTGACTATATGTAGCATTAAATTCTTTCTTTCTTCCTTATAATTTTCTTTAATCATCCCTAGTAAAAATATTTCTGGTTTAAGTTCTATTTTTCCCGATGTTATTTCTATTAGCCAAATCCTTATTTTTCCCCAATACTTCCAATTTTTGGGGCAAAGCCACCAAACATGGAGAAAAGTGCCCTGTGCCTGCTTGCATTTCCAGCAAGTTGGACTTAAGTTCAAATTCATTTTCGCTCACCACGAAGCTGCCAGATACCATCTATACCACATTTTATACTGGTTCTCTTTACAAACCACTGATTTTGTCATAATATAATTATTTTCCCACACTCTTTCCCTGTCCTCCAGTTCTATGTTATGTCCGATGTTTCTTGGCCATGCTATCATTTGTCTCTTTACTAATTCTTCTGCCAAATCAAATTCCAATAAATATTTATAAATGTTTGAAATCAATTTTTCCTCCGTGGCTTCTAAAAGTTTATCCAACCAATTTGGTTTTAATTCCATTCCTCCTTCCTCTTGGTCTTTTTTCTACCTTGTTTTTATCTGTAAATAGGGCCACCGGTCAACCTGAATTCCTTGCTCTCCGAGTTCTTCTTGTGTTTTTAATATTCCCTGGGGATCTAATATTTCATTATATCTTACCATTCTTTGAATCGCCAAGGTATTGGGGTGTGTCATCGCCTCCATTGTGAATAACCAACCAGGAACTTTCATATAGTGTTTACTTTTAATTTCTTGCCATGTATGAATGAATGAATCTCTTCAAAGATGATTACAAAAATACTCATGCGTTTTGCTCCTGGTGTTCCAAAAGAAGGCGTGCCACCCCATCATCAAATCGTGTCCCTCCAAGGTTAGCAATCTTTGATTTTTCAAATTCACCCATTCCCTAATCCATGTCAAACCTGTTGCTTTATAATATGTTTCCCATGCCTGTAATCCAAATCCACCTCTGGCTCTGTCATCCTGCAGTATACTTAATTTAATTCTTGCCTTTTTTTGAGCCGAATTTATTTAATAATTTTAAATTTTTAATTGATGTTTGTCTTGTGTTTTTAAATAGGCTGTACACCGCCCTGAGTCCTTCGGGAGATAAAATTGGTTATTTTATCCAGATTTACAAAAATCCTTTTCATGCCGGTCATCTGAGCAGCCTCTGGGGACGGACGCCATTGTCCACGCGGAGCTGGCCAGAGACACTCGATCCCTCGTCTCTTGTATCGGTTACCCCTTCGATGAGAGAGGCCGCCACGGAGACCGCAGCCTCCCTGGACGGACAGTTAATCCTCGACTTACAACTAGAACGAAGTCCCGAATTTCCGCAGCTTGTGACGTTTGTGAAGTGGGTTTTGCCCTCTTTTGCAACCTTCCTTACAGGAGCTTTTAAGTGGGTCACTGCGCTTGTTAAGTCCCCCTGGACTTGGCTCGTCGGAAAGTCGAAAAAGGGGATCCCGGGGTCGCTGCAACCGTCATAAATAGGAGACGGTTGCCAGGCGTCTGAATTTTGATCGCCGTGGGGAATGCTGCAGTTGTCCCAAGTGTGAAAAAACTGTCACAAGTCACTTTTTTCAGTGCCCTTGTAACTTCAAACGGTCACTAAATGAACTGTCATAAGTCAAGGATTCCCTGGATTCGATTCAGGGAGGGTTGGAGAAGGGATGGCGGATGGCAGCAATATTTCTCTGATATTTATTTTATTTTATTTTATTTTATTTTATTTTATTTTATTTTATTTTATTTTATTTTATTTTATTTTATTTTATTTATTTTATTATTTTATTTTATTTTATTATTTTATTTTATTTTATTTTATTTCTATACTGCCCTCCTCCCGAAGGACTCAGGGCGGTGTACAGCCTGATTAAAAGCAGATAAAATATTCGGAGACAGGCAGCTTGGGAAATACGGATCTGCCCAACTTGGCACCACAGAGTGTTACAGGAAAACAAAAAATGTGCATTTCTCCCATTATGACTTGTGATGTGGAGCTGAGTCACAAAATGTACTTTCTAAAAAAAACACACACATACAATTAGCATAAATTTCTTCCCTTTATATTAGTTGCAGGCTGAGAGTGGAAGGAGAGGAGGGAAAGAGCACCTGTGGGAACGTTCTCCCAGAAAAAGCTGCCGGCTGCTGTATATCTCAGGTTAGTGGCCGATCCGAGGAACCTCCAGCCTCAGTTGCAGTCTACCTCTGAATCCGGAATCTGGAACAATGAGGCTGTTTGCATGGGAGATTTTTTTTTTTTTTTAGAGTTCCCAGATTATTGTGATGGGGGAAATAAGAATCTGGTTGGGTCTGAATCCCTCTGGGGGAGTTCTGGGAGTTGAAGTCCATCCCTCTGAAAGCAGGCTGGTTGGGGGACTCTGGGAGTTGGAGAAAATATAATACAGATGATATAGAGATAGATAGAAAATAGATAGATAGATAGATGTAATTGATAATATAAATGAGAAAATATAATAGAGATGATATAGAGATAGATACATAGAGAGAGAGAGAGAGAGAGAGATGTAATTGATAATATAAATGAGAAAATATAATAGAGATGATATAGAGATAGATACATAGAGAGATAGATAGAGAGAGGGGGGGTAATAATATAAATGAGAAAATATAATAGAGATGATACAGAGATAGATACATAGATAGAGAGATAGATAGAGAGATAGATAGATAGATAGAAAAATAGATAGATAGATGTAATAATATAAATGAGAAAATATAATAGAGATGATATAGATACATAGAGAGAGAGAGATGTAATTGATAATATAAATGAGAAAATATAATAGAGATGATATAGAGATAGAGAGAGAGAGAGAGAGAGAGAGAGAGAGAGAGAGAGATGTAATTGATAATATAAATGAGAAAATATAATAGATGATAGATAGATAGATAGATAGATAGATAGATAGATAGATAGATAGATAGATAGATAGATAGATAGATAGATATGGATGATAGTTAAGTTGATAGACAGACAGACAATCTCACCAGATCCCACCAACTCCAATCACCCCAAGCCCACCTTCTCCTCCCCAACCCTTCTCCCCTCCATCAAAGCCCCCATCCTCCCCCCAAATGAGCCCAGCCCCCCCATTGTCTCAGCGGCAGAGACCCAAAAGGAAAGTGCCAGGCCAGCTTCTGCCCCACCCAATGCAGATTGGCGGGACCAACTGGTTTATCCTGGACCGCAGCCAGCTGCTGCGAGGGGTGTGCGGGAGAGGGGGCCTCTCTGGGCTTCCAGATGTTGGGGCTTGGAGTCCCCTCCCAGAGGCGCCTGGTGCTCGCCTGGGCACGCCCGCTCACCCTTGATACACCTGGGCTGCCCGCCGCTCATTTTCCCAGGATGCCCACCCGCCAGACACAGGCTGCAAGCCGGGGCAGGTTCGCAGGAGGAAATGCAGCCCGGATGACTTAAGAGGCAGCGTGGTGTAGTGCTTAGAGTCAAGTCTATCTAGGAACGCCAGCTGATGGCCGGAGGATCCCAGCGGGGCATGGCAGAATAACAGAGTTGGAAGGAAGGAAGGAAGGAAGAAAGAAAGGAGGTGATAGAGGGAAGGAAGGAAGGAAGGAAGGAAGGAAGGAAGGAAGATGATAGAGGGAAGGAAGGAAGGAAGGGAGGAAGGAAGGAAGGAAGATGATAGAGGGAAGGAAGGAAGGAAGGAAAGGAAGGAAGGAAGGAAGGAAGGAAGGAAGGAAGGAAAAAAGATGGGAGGGAGGGAGGAATATAGATAGAAGGACAGATAGATAAATAGGTCATTGGAAGGGAAGGAAGGAAGGAGAGGGAGGGAGGGAAACAGGTGGGAGGGAGGAATATAAATAAATGGATAGATAGGTGGATGGAAGGGAAGGAAGGTATGAAGGAAGGAAGCTAGATGGGTAGATAAATGGATGGAAGGGAATGGAAGAAGGAAGGAGAGGGAGGAAAGGTGGGAGAGAGGGAGCAATATAGATAGATGGATAAATAAATATGTAGGAAGGGAATGGAGGAAGGAAGGAAGGAAAAAAGATGGGAGGGAGGGAGGAATATAGATAGAAGGACAAATAGATAAATAGAGATGGAAGGGAAGGAAGGGAGGAAAACAGGTGTGAGGGAGGGAGGAATATAGATAGATAGATGGATAGATAGATAAATAAATAGGTAGATGGAAGGGAAGGAAGGAAGGAGAGGGAGGAAGGGAGGGTGGGAGGAATATAGATAGATGGATAGATAGATAAATAGGTAGATGGAAGGGAAGGAAGGTATGAAAGGAAGGTGATGGGTAGATAAATGGATGGAAGGGAATGGAGGAAGGAGCGGGAGGGGGGAAAAGAGGTAGGTGGGAGGAATATAGATGGATAGATAAATAGGTAGATGGAAGGGAAGGAAGGAAGGAAGGAGAGGGAGGGAGGGAGGAAGGAAGGAATATAAATAGATAGATAGATAAAAGGTGGAGGGAAGGGAAGGAGGAAAGAAAAGAAAGGAAAGAGTTTTCTCCCTCCCTCCCTCCGAGATGATATTTAGACAGAGCATCCCAGGATGTTTGCAATACAGGTGTGTTACCTTCAGCATCCTCCGTCTCTCTCTCTCTGTCTCTCTTTCTCTCTTCTCTCTCTCTCTCTCTCTCTCTCTCTCTCTTCTCTCTCTCTCTCTCTCTCTCTCTCTCTCTCTCTCTCTCTCTCTCTCTCTCTCTCTCTCTCTCTCTCTCTCTTTCTCTCTCTCTGTCTCTCTCTCTCTCTCTGTCTCTCTGTCTCTCTCTCTCTCTCTCTCTCTCTCTTTTCTCTCTCTCTCTCTCTCTCTCTCTCTGCAGGCCCCAGGATGCCACGGCAATTGGAGAGGGCTATGGAGATCATCATCAACGTCTTCCACCAGTACTCCAGCAAAGGAGGCGACAAGGATAAGCTGAGCAAGAAGGAGCTGAAGGAGCTGCTGCAGAAGGAGTTGGGCTTGGAGGTAGGACCGATGGATTTCCGCCTTTTCTCTTCAAACCAGTCACAAACAGAGGAGGAAGGGACCCTGGAGGTCTTCTAGTCCAGTCTGGAGGGGAGAAGGACCAGGGGGTGACAAGATGGCAGGAGTCTCGTATTTGAGGGGCCGCCCCAAAGAAGGGGGGGGGTTTCTCTACTCTCTGAAGCACCAGAAGGCAGCGGATGGAAACTAACCACGGAGAGAAGCAACCTAGAACTAAGGAGGAATTTCCTAAGAATTCATCAGTGGAACTGCTTGCCACCAGAAGTTGTGGAGGTTTTTAAGAAGAGACTAAGGCAGCCATGTGTCTGGAATGATCTAGGAGTAGGTTAGGATCTCCTGCTTGAGCAGAGGGCTGGACTAGAAGACCTCCCAGGCCCCTCCCAGCTCTCTTCTGACTAGTCCTACCCCTGCTCAACTTCTAAGGTGGGACTAGAACTCCCAGTCTCCTGGTGATTGGCCCCAAGTCACCCAGCTGCCTTATCATGCTAAACTGGGACTAGAACTCACCCTCTCCTGATAATTGGGCCAGTCAACCAATCGTCTTTCGGGGCTAAGGTGGAAACTAGAACTCCCAGTCTCCTAGTGATGGGCCTACTGTCAGCCAGTCAGCCAGAACTCCCAGTCTCCTGGTGTTTGGTCCAAAGTCACCCAGCCGCTTTTCATGCCAAAGTGGGACTAGAATTTTTACATGTCGGAATCTGGGAAAACAGGTCAGGGAGACGGACGAGCACCCGGGCGGGGGTGTGTGGAAATACCGCCGCCCGGTATCCTTTGACTCGGGGGAATCGAACGGCACTCCAAATCCTTGTCCGGTTTCTGTTTTTTCCAGACCCAGAAATATCCAGAGGGGGTGGACAAGATCATGCGCGATCTGGACCAGAACGGCGACGGGCAAGTCAGTTTCCAGGAGTTCGTGAACCTGGCGGTCACCGTACTTATAACAAGAAACCCTTCCTTTTCGGAGGAAACCTGAGCTTGCCGGTGGCCCTTAGCGGGAACGCAAAGCTCGGGAGTTTTGGGGGGGGCTTCAAGCCCAGCTGTCCCCTTCGCAACGCCTTTTCCCCCGTTTCTCACGGCTTCTCTGCCCAACTGGGAGCACCCCGAGGTGCCATGTAATCGTCTGCTGGGACAGCCCTGCTGCTGATTAAAGCTGTTTAGTGTGCACTGCGCCTGGTCTGGTCTCTCGGGGGGGGGTAGGGGGGGCAGGGAGAGCGGGGGGGGCTTGGGGGTGTTGGAAGAAATGTCCATCTGGGTTCAGTTACAAGTGGGGAAAAAGACACTGGAATATATGGAGACTATTGGGAAAGATGGTTTAATGGTGGACAGGATCACATGGCTTGAGATCCCGGTCAAAAAAGGCACATGAGAGAGAGATTTATACCCTCTGTTGGGATTTGAATTTGAGCTCGTGTTCTGATTGGTGGTCAGGCTCCCATGGGACCATGCAGGGGTAACTTGGTAGGTTGTCTGTGTCCTAGGCTTGGTTGACTCCTGCGGGGTGATGATGTAATGAAAGGGCTTTGGGCAATTCCTACTAGGGCTCTGCCTGAAGGACGTAGATCTTTGTTATGTAGAATAGGCTGGCCCAGGCCTTAATGATCCATTGAGAAAGGTGGGGGGGGCTGATATTCTGCCCCTTTTTTAATATTTCCTAGAATATTTCATTTTTCTAGGAGAGGGGTGGGTGCTAACTTCCTACAAGGGCGTTAGGGAAGAGGGGTAGAAGGCAGTCTGGGGCTCTTAAGGCAAGAGGGGAGCCTGGGGAAAGCAGGGAGATGGACCCAGGGACATAGGGAGGAGTCTGGAGTCTGGTTTTGCGGGCGCACTCACAAAATGGCCCTGGAGGATCCAGCCTGGCCTAAACTGATTTTGGTCACTGTTTAACCTGTTTAACCTGGAACAAAGTCAAGAGCTCGATTCAATAATTCATGCCATGTTCTTGCATGATTTATGCTGAAATAATTTAGATGTCCTCTGAGTTCCCAGCCCGTAATGGCGCCTCTGTTCTCGTCTGATTATGGTTTCACAAAAAACTTTATTAATCATATAAAAGCAAAATAATACACCATGTGTATACAAAACACATATATATCAATATAAACAACACTACATCAAAAGAAAAAGTGACTTTGATCACATATCCATTCTGTTATTGACGGTGCATTTTTTTAAAAATTCTTTTGTTATCATTCAGAATTTTGCATTTGCCCTCATTTCTCCGAGTTATCCAATCGTACCATCTATTCCATACTATACAATATTTTGAGTCTGCCTCATCTTTCAATTCGAAGGTTAATTTATCCATTTCCACACAATTATAGATTTTTTGAATTATCAGTTGGTTTGTTGGTAGTTGATCAGTTTTCCAAAATTGAGCTAGCGCCAATCTGGCTGCAGTGACTATATGTAGCATTAAATTCTTTCTTTCTTTCTTATAATTTTCTTTAATCATCCCTAGTAAAAATATTTCTGGTTTAAGTTCTATTTTTCCCGATGTTATTTCTATTAACCAAATCCTTATTTTTCCCCAATACTTCCAATTTTTTGGGCAAAGCCACCAAACATGGAGAAAAGTGCCCTGTGCCTGCTTGCATTTCCAGCAAGTTGGACTTAAGTTCAAATTCATTTTCGCTCACCACGAAGGTGCCAGATACCATCTATACCACATTTTATACTGGTTCTCTTTACAAACCACTAATTTTGTCATAATATAATTATTTTCCCACACTCTTTCCCTGTCCTCCAGTTCTATGTTATGTCCGATGTTTCTTGGCCATGCTATCATTTGTTTCTTTACTAATTCTTCTGCCAAATCAAATTCCAATAAATATTTATAAATGTTTGAAATCAATTTTTCCTCCGTGGCTTCTAAAAGTTTATCCAACCGATTTGGTTTTAATTCCATTCCTCCTTCCTCTTGGTCTTTTTTCTATCTTGTTTTTATCTGTAAATAGGGCCACCGGTCAACCTGAATTCCTTGCTCTCCGAGTTCTTCTTGTGTTTTTAATATTCCCTGGGGATCTAATATTTCATTATATCTTACCATTCTTTGAATCGCCAAGGTATTGGGCTGTGTCATCGCCTCCATTGTGGATAGCCATCCAGGAACTTTCATATAGTGTTTACTTTTAATTTCCTGCCATGTATAAATTAATGAATCTCTTAATATATAATTGCAAAAATACTTACGTGTTTTGCTCCTGGTGTTCCAAAAGAAGGCGTGCCACCCCATCATCAAATCGTGTCCCTCCAAGGTTAGCAATCTTTGATTTTTCAAATTCACCCATTCCCTAATCCATGTCAAACCCGTTGATTTATAATATGTTTCCCATGCCTGTAATCCAAATCCACCTCTGGCTCTGTCATCCTGCAGTATATTTAATTTAATTCTTGCCTTTTTTTGAGCCGAATTTATTTAATAATTTTAAATTTTTAATTGATGTTTGTCTTGTGTTTTTAAATAGGCTGTACACCGCCCTGAGTCCTTCGGGAGATAAAATTGGTTATTTTATTCAGATTTACAAAAATCCTTTTCATGCCGGTCATCTGAGCAGCCTCTGGGGACGGACGCCATTGTCCACGTGGAGCTGGCCAGAGACACTCGATCCCTCGTCTCTTGTATCGGTTACCCCTTCGATGAGAGAGGCCGCCACGGAGACCGCAGCCTCCCTGGACGGACAGGTAATCCTCGACTTACAACTAGAACGAAGTCCCGAATTTCCGCAGCTTGTGACATTTGTGAAGTGGGTTTTGCCCTCTTTTGCAACCTTCCTTACCGGAGCTTTTAAGTGGGTCACTGCGCTTGTTAAGTCCCCCTGGACTTGGCTCGTCGGAAAGTCGAAAAAGGGGATCCCGGGGTCGCTGCAACCGTCATAAATAGGAGACGGTTGCCAGGCGTCTGAATTTTGATCGCCGTGGGGAATGCTGCAGTTGTCCCAAGTGTGAAAAAACTGTCACAAGTCACTTTTTTCAGTGCCCTTGTAACTTCAAACGGTCACTAAATGAACTGTCATAAGTCAAGGATTCCCTGGATTCGATTCAGGGAGGGTTGGAGAAGGGATGGCGGATGGCAGCAATATTTCTCTGATATTTATTTTATTTTATTTTATTTTATTTTATTTTATTTTATTTTATTTATTATATTTATTATATTATTTTTTATTTTATTTTATTTTATTTTATTTTATTTTATTTTATATTTTATTTCTATACTGCCCTCCTCCCGAAGGACTCAGGGCGGTGTACAGCCTGATTAAAAGCAGATAAAATATTCGGAGACAGGCAGCTTGGGAAATAATGGATCTGCCCAACTTGGCAGCACAGAGTGTTACAGGAAAACAAAAAATGTGCATTTCTCCCATTATGACTTGTGATGTGGAGCTGAGTCACAAAATGTACTTTCTAAAAAACACACACATACAATTAGCATAAATTTCTTCCCTTTATATTAGTTGCAGGCTGAGAGTGGAAGGAGAGGAGGGAAAGAGCACCTGTGGGAACGTTCTCCCAGAAAAAGCTGCCGGCTGCTGTATATCTCAGGTTAGTGGCCGATCCGAGGAACCTCCAGCCTCAGCTGCAGTCTACCTCTGAATCCGGAATCTGGAACAATGAGGCTGTTTGCAAGGGAGATTTTTTTTTTTTTTAGAGTTCCCAGATTATTGTGATGGGGGAAATAAGAATCTGGTTGGTTCTGAATCACTCTGGGGGAATTCTGGGAGTTGAAGTCCATCCCTCTGAAAGCAGTCTGGTTGGGGGACTCTGGGAGTTGGAGAAAATATAATACAGATGATAGATAGATAGATAGATAGAAAATAGATAGATAGATAGATAGATAGATAGATAGATGTAATTGATAATATAAATGAGAAAATATAATAGAGATGATATAGAGATAGATACATAGAGAGATAGATAGAGAGAGGGGGGTAATAATATAAATGAGAAAATATAATAGAGATGATATAGAGATAGATACATAGAGAGAGAGAGAGAGAGATGTAATTGATAATATAAATGAGAAAATATAATAGAGATGATATAGAGATAGATACATAGAGAGATAGAGAGATAGATAGATAGATAGAAAAATAGATAGATAGATGTAATAATATAAATGAGAAAATATAATAGAGATGATATAGATACATAGATAGAGAGAGAGAGATGTAATTGATAATATAAATGAGAAAATATAATAGAGATGATATAGAGATAAATACATAGAGAGATAGAGAGAGGGGGGTAATAATATAAATGAGAAAATATAATAGAGATGATATAGAGATAGATACATAGAGAGAGAGAGAGAGAGAGAGATGTAATTGATAATATAAATGAGAAAATATAATAGAGATGATATAGAGATAGATACATAGATAGAGAGATAGAGAGATAGATAGAGAGATAGAGAGATAGAGAGATAGATAGATAGAGAGATAGATAGAGAGATAGAGAGATAGATAGATAGATAGAAAAATAGATAGATAGATGTAATAATATAAATGAGAAAATATAATAGAGATGATATAGAGATAGAGAGAGAGAGAGAGAGAGAGAGAGAGAGAGAGAGAGAGATGTAATTGATAATATAAATGAGAAAATATAATAGAGATGATAGATAGATAGATAGATAGATAGATAGATAGATAGATAGATAGATAGATAGATAGATAGATAGATAGATAGATATGGATGATAGTTAGTTGATAGACAGACAGACAATCTCACCAGATCCCACCAACTCCAATCACCCCAAGCCCACCTTCTCCTCCCCAACCCTTCTCCCCTCCATCAAAGCCCCCATCCTCCCCCAAATGAGCCCGGCCCCCCCATTGTCTCAGCGGCAGAGACCCAAAAGGAAAGTGCCAGGCCAGCTTCTGCCCCACCCAATGCAGATTGGTGGGACCAACTGGTTTATCCAGGACCGCAGCCAGCTGCTGCGAGGGGGGTGCGTGAGAGGGAGAGGTCCAGATGTTGGGGCTTGGAGTCCCCTCCTAGAGGCGCCTGGTGGTCACCCGGGCACAATGGCTGGCCCTTGACACCCCTGGGCTGCCCGCCGCTCATTTTCCCAGGATGCCCACCCGCCAGACACAGGCTGCAAGCCGGGGCAGGTTCGCAGGAGGAAATGCAGCCCGGATGACTTAAGAGGCAGCGCGGTGTAGTGCTTAGAGTCAAGTCTATCTAGGAACGCCAGCTGATGGCCGGAGGATCCCAGCAGGGCATGGCAGAATAACAGAGTTGGAAGGAAGGAAGGAAGGAAGGAAGGAAGGAAGGAAGGAAGGAAGGAAGGAAGGAAGGAAGGAAGGAAGGAAGATGATAGAGGGAAGGAAGGAAGGAAGGGAGGAAGGAAGGAAGGAAGATGATAGAGGGAGGGAAGGAAGGAAGGAAGGAAGGAAGGAAGGAAGGAAGGAAGGAAGGAAGGAAGGAAAGAAAAACGATGGGAGGGAGGGAGGGAGGAATATAGATAGAAGGACAGATAGATAAATAGGTCATTGGAAGGGAAGGAAGGAAGGAGAGGGAGGGAGGGAAACAGGTGGGAGGGAGGAATATAAATAAATGGATAGATAGGTGGATGGAAGGGAAGGAAGGTATGAAGGAAGGAAGCTAGATGGGTAGATAAATGGATGGAAGGGAATGGAAGAAGGAAGGAGAGGGAGGGAGGAAAGGTGGGAGAGAGGGAGCAATATAGATAGATGGATAAATAAATATGTAGGAAGGGAATGGAGGAAGGAAGGAAGGAAAAAAGATGGGAGGGAGGGAGGAATATAGATAGAAGGACAAATAGATAAATAGAGATGGAAGGGAAGGAAGGGAGGAAAACAGGTGTGAGGGAGGGAGGAATATAGATAGATAGATGGATAGATAGATAAATAAATAGGTAGATGGAAGGGAAGGAAGGAAGGAGAGGGAGGAAGGGAGGGTGGGAGGAATATAGATAGATGGATAGATAGATAAATAGGTAGATGGAAGGGAAGGAAGGTATGAAAGGAAGGTGATGGGTAGATAAATGGATGGAAGGGAATGGAGGAAGGAGCGGGAGGGGGGAAAAGAGGTAGGTGGGAGGAATATAGATGGATAGATAAATAGGTAGATGGAAGGGAAGGAAGGAAGGAAGGAGAGGGAGGGAGGGAGGAAGGAAGGAATATAAATAGATAGATAGATAAAAGGTGGAGGGAAAGGAAGGAGGAAAGAAAAGAAAGGAAAGAGTTTTCTCCCTCCCTCCAAGATGGTCTTTAGACAGAGCATCCCAGGATGTTTGCAATACAGGTGTGTTACCTTCAGCATCCTCCGTCTCTCTCTCTCTGTCTCTCTTTCTCTCTCTCTCTCTCTCTCTCTCTCTCTTTCTCTCTCTCTCTCTCTCTCTCTCTCTCTGTCTCTCTGTCTCTCTTTCTCTCTCTCTCTTTCTCTCTCTCTCTCTCTCTCTCTCTTTCTCTCTCTCTCTCTCTGTCTCTCTGTCTCTCTTTCTCTCTCTCTCTTTCTCTCTCTCTCTTTCTCTCTCTCTCTCTCTCTCTCTCTCTCTGTCTCTGTCTCTGTCTCTCTCTCTCTCTCTCTCTGCAGGCCCCAGGATGCCATCGGAATTGGAGACGGCTATGGAGATCATCATCTCCGTCTTCCACCAGTACTCCAGCAAAGGAGGCGACAAGGATAAGCTGAGCAAGAAGGAGCTGAAGCAGCTGCTGCAGAAGGAGTTCGGCTTGGAGGTAGGACCGATGGATTTCCGCCTTTTCTCTTCAAACCAGTCACAAACAGAGGAGGAAGGGACCCTGGAGGTCTTCTAGTCCAGTCTGGAGGGGAAAAGGACCAGGGGGTGACAAGATGGCAGGAGTCTCGTATTTGAGGGGCCGCCCCAAAGAAGAGAGGGGGGTTTCTCTACTCTCTGAAGCACCAGAAGGCAGCGGATGGAAACTAACCAAGGAGAGAAGCAACCTAGAACTAAGGAGGAATTTCCTAAGAATTCATCAGTGGAACTGCTTGCCACCAGAAGTTGTGGAGGTTTTTAAGAAGAGACTAAGGCAGCCATGTGTCTGGAATGGCCTAGGAGTAGGTTAGGATCTCCTGCTTGAGCAGAGGGCTGGACTAGAAGACCTCCCAGGCCCCTCCCAGCTCTCTTCTGACTAGTCCTACCCCTGCTCAACTTCTAAGGTGGGACTAGAACTCCCAGTCTCCTGGTGATTGGCCCCAAGTCACCCAGCTGCCTTATCATGCTAAACTGGGACTAGAACTCACCCTCTCCTGATAATTGGGCCAGTCAACCAATCGTCTTTCGGGGCTAAGGTGGAAACTAGAACTCCCAGTCTCCTAGTGATGGGCCTACTGTCAGCCAGTCAGCCAGAACTCCCAGTCTCCTGGTGTTTGGTCCAAAGTCACCCAGCCGCTTTTCATGCCAAAGTGGGACTAGAATTTTTACATGTCGGAATCTGGGAAAACAGGTCAGGGAGATGGACGAGCACCCGGGCGGGGGTGTGTGGAAATACCGCCGCCCGGTATCCTTTGACTCGGGGGAATCGAACGGCACTCCAAATCCTTGTCCGGTTTCTGTTTTTTCCAGACCCAGAAATATCCGGAGGGGGTGGACAAGATCATGTGCGATCTGGACAAGAACGGCGACGGGCAAGTCAGTTTCCAGGAGTTCCTGAAGATGGTGGCCGCCATACTTATAACAAGAAACTCTTCCTTTTCGGAGGAAACCTGAGCTTGCCGGCGGCCCTTAGCGGGAACGCAAAGCTCGGGAGTTTTGGGGGGGGCTTCAAGCCCAGCTGTCCCCTTCGCAACGCCTTTTCCCCCGTTTCTCGCGGCTTCTCTGCCCAACTGGGAGCACCCCGAGGTGGCATGTAATCGTCTGCTGGGACAGCCCTGCTGCTGATTAAAGCTGTTTAGTGTGCACTGCGCCTGGTCTGGTCTCTCGGTGGGGGGTAGGGGGGGCAGGGAGAACGGGGGGGTGTCTTGGGGGTGTTGGAAGAAATGTCCATCTGGGTTCGGTTACAAGTGGGGAAAAAGACACTGGAATATATGGAGACTATTGGGAAAGATGGTTTAATGGTGGACAGGATCACATGGCTTGAGATCCCGGTCAAAAAAGGCACATGAGAGAGAGATTTATACCCTCTATTGGGATTTGAATTTGAGCTCGTGTTCTGATTGGTGGTCAGGCTCCCATGGGACCATGCAGGGGTAACTTGGTAGGTTGTCTGTGTCCTAGGCTTGGTTGACTCCTGCGGGGTGATGATGTAATGAAAGGGCTTTGGGCAATTCCTACTAGGGCTCTGCCTGAAGGACGTAGATCTTTGTTATGTAGAATAGGCTGGCCCAGGCCTTAATGATCCATTGAGAAAGGTGGGGGGGGCTGATATTCTGCCCCTTTTTTAATATTTCCTAGAATATTTCATTTTTCTAGGAGAGGAGTGGGTGCTAACTTCCTACAAGGGCGTTAGGGAAGAGGGGTAGAAGGCAGTCTGGGGCTCTTAAGGCAAGAGGGGAGCCTGGGGAAAGCAGGGAGATGGACCCAGGGACATAGGGAGGAGTCTGGAGTCTGGTTTTGCGGGCGCACTCACAAAATGGCCCTGGAGGATCCAGCCTGGCCTAAACTGATTTTGGTCACTGTTTAACCTGGAACAAAGTCAAGAGCTCGATTCAATAATTCATGCCATGTTCTTGCATGATTTATGCTGAAATAATTTAGATGTCCTCTGAGTTCCCAGCCCGTAATGGCGCCTCTGTTCTCGTCTGATTATGGTTTCACAAAAAACTTTATTAATCATATAAAAGCAAAATAATACACCATGTGTATACAAAACACATATATATCAATATAAACAACACTACATCAAAAGAAAAAGTGACTTTGATCACATATCCATTCTGTTATTGACGATGCATTTTTTAAAAAATTCTTTTGTTATCATTCAGAATTTTGCATTTGCCCTCATTTCTCCGAGTTATCCAATCGTACCATCTATTCCATACTATACAATATTTTGAGTCTGCCTCATCTTTCAATTCGAAGGTTAATTTATCCATTTCCACACAATTATAGATTTTTTGAATTATCAGTTGGTTTGTTGGTAGTTGATCAGTTTTCCAAAATTGAGCTAGCGCCAATCTGGCTGCAGTGACTATATGTAGCATTAAATTCTTTCTTTCTTTCTTATAATTTTCTTTAATCATCCCTAGTAAAAATATTTCTGGTTTAAGTTCTATTTTTCCCGATGTTATTTCTATTAGCCAAATCCTTATTTTTCCCCAATACTTCCAATTTTTTGGGCAAAGCCACCAAACATGGAGAAAAGTGCCCTGTGCCTGCTTGCATTTCCAGCAAGTTGGACTTAAGTTCAAATTCATTTTCGCTCACCACGAAGGTGCCAGATACCATCTATACCACATTTTATACTGGTTCTCTTTACAAACCACTGATTTTGTCATAATATAATTATTTTCCCACACTCTTTCCCGGTCCTCCAGTTCTATGTTATGTCCGATGTTTCTTGGCCATGCTATCATTTGTTTCTTTACTAATTCTTCTGCCAAATCAAATTCCAATAAATATTTATAAATGTTTGAAATCAATTTTTCCTCCGTGGCTTCTAAAAGTTTATCCAACCGATTTGGTTTTAATTCCATTCCTCCTTCCTCTTGGTCTTTTTTCTATCTTGTTTTTATCTGTAAATAGGGCCACCGGTCAACCTGAATTCCTTGCTCTCCGAGTTCTTCTTGTGTTTTTAATATTCCCTGGGGATCTAATATTTCATTATATCTTACCATTCTTTGAATCGCCAAGGTATTGGGCTGTGTCATCGCCTCCATTGTGGATAGCCATCCAGGAACTTTCATATAGTGTTTACTTTTAATTTCTTGCCATGTATGAATGAATGAATCTCTTCAAAGATGATTACAAAAATACTTATGTGTTTTGCTCCTGGTGTTCCAAAAGAAGGCGTGCCACCCCATCATCAAATCGTGTCCCTCCAAGGTTAGCAATCTTTGATTTTTCAAATTCACCCATTCCCTAATCCATGTCAAACCCGTTGATTTATAATATGTTTCCCATGCCTGTAATCCAAATCCACCTCTGGCTCTGTCATCCTGCAGTATATTTAATTTAATTCTTGCCTTTTTTTGAGCCGAATTTATTTAATAATTTTAAATTTTTAATTGATGTTTGTCTTGTGTTTTTAAATAGGCTGTACACCGCCCTGAGTCCTTCGGGAGAAGGGCGGTATAGAAATAAAATTATACTTATACTTATACTTTCCTTCCCGTACAAATTTTGTGGTTATTTTATTCAGATTTACAAAAATCCTTTTCATGCCGGTCATCCGAGCGGCCTCTGGGGACGGACGCCATTATCCACGCGGAGCTGGCCAGAGCCACTCGATCCCTCGTCTCTTGTATCGGTTACCCCTTTGATGAGAGAGGCCGCCACGGAGACCGCAGCCACCCTGGACGGACAGGTAATTCTCGACTTACAACTAGAATGAAGTCCCGAATTTCCGCAGCTTGGGACGTTTGTGAAGTGGGTTTTGCCCTCTTTTGCGACCTTCCTTACTGGAGTTTTTAAGTGGGTCACTGCGCTTGTTAAGTCCCCCTGGACTTGGCTCGTTGGAAGATCGCAAAAGGGCATCCCGGGGTCGCTGCGACCGTCATAAATAGGAGACGGTTGCCAGGCGTCTGAATTTTGATTGCCGTGGGGAATGCTGCAGTGGTCCTAAGTGTGAAAAAACTGTCACCAGTCACTTTTTTCAGTGCCCTTGTAACTTCAAACGGTCACTAAATGAACTGTTGTAAGTCGAGGATTCCCTGGATTCGATTCAGGGAGCGTTGGAGAAGGGATGGTGGATGGCAACAATATTTCTCTGATATTCGGAGACAGGCAGCTTGGGAAATACGGATCTGCTCCATTTTGCAACACAGAGTGTTACAGGAGGGGAAAACATCCGTGCAGTTTCCCCTTTAAGACTGGCGGTGTGAAGCTGCCAGTCAGCTACTTTCTTAAAAAAAAACCAATTAGCATTAATTTCTTCCTCAGCCGCCCTGAGTCTTCAGAGAGGGGCGGCATATAAATTGAATTAATTAAATTAAATTAAATTAAATTTTTTTTAGCTGCAGGCTGAGAGTGGAAGGAGAGGAGGGAAAGAGCACCTGTGGGAACGTTCCCCCAGAAAAAGCTGCCGGCTGCTGTATATCTCAGGTTAGTGGCCGATCCGAGGAACCCCCAGTCTCAGCTGCAGTCTACCTCTGAATTCGGAATCTGGAACAATGAGGCTGTTTGCCATGCAAGGGAGATTTTCTTTTCTTTTCTTTTTCTTTTTAGAGTTTCCAGATTATTGTGATGGGGGAAATAAGAATCTGGTTGGGGAAGGAAGGAAAAAGAAAAAGATGGGAGGGAGGAAGGAAGGAATATAAATTGATGGATAAATAAAAGAAGAAAGAAGAAAGCCCTTTCGTGACATCATCACCCCGCAGGAGTCAACCAAGCCTAGGACACAGACAACCTACCAAGTTACCCCTGCATGGTCCCATGGGAGTCTGACCACCAATCAGGACATGAGCTCAAATTCAAATCCCAATAGAGGGTATAAATCTCTCTCTCTCTCCACTCCATGTGCCTTTTTTGACCGGGATCTCAAGCCATGTGATCCTGTCCACCATTAAACCATCTTTCCCAATTGTCTCCATATATTCCAGTGTCTTTTTCCCCACTTGTAACTGAACCCAGATGGACATTTCTTCCAACACCCCCAAGACCCCCCCCCCCCCGCTCTCCCTGCCCCCCCCCGAGAGACCAGACCAGGCGCAGTGCACACTAAACAGCTTTAATCAACAGCAGGGCTGTCCCAGCAGACGATTACATGGCACCTCGGGGTGCTCCCAGTTGGGCAGAGAAGCCGCGAGAAACGGGGGAAAAGGCGTTGCGAAGGGGACAGCTGGGCTTGAAGCCCCCCCCAAAACTCCCGAGCTTTGCGTTCCCGCTAAGGGCCACCGGCAAGCTCAGGTTTACTCCGAAAAGGAAGGGTTTCCTGTTCTAAGTATGGCGGCCACCAGCTTCACGAACTCCTGGAAACTGACTTTCCCATCGCCGTTCTTGTCCAGATCGCGCATGATTGGATATTTCTGGGTCTGGAAAAAGCAAAAATCAGACGAAGTAGCTACAAAGCCTATATTTTTAAGTATCTTTGATAAGCACTCATACCATCGCTTACCAGACATAAAGGCTCTTATTCAATAGCCAAATTTCTCCCTTTTTTGTATCTTTTCCTGGGGGTGCTTTCACATAAATTTCTTTATCTAGATCAGCGTGCAGATAGGCTGTCTGCACGTCAAATTGATATACTTCCAGATTTAAGATAGAAGCTAACACTAGTGCTGTTTTCACACTTTCTGATCTAACGGTTGGGGAGTAAGTGTCTTCATAGTCATCCGGAAATCTTTGGGCAAAGCCTTGAGCCACTAACCTGGCTTTGTATAGGAATTTACCATCCTCTAGCTCTTTGATTTTATAGATCCACCTGGTGCCAATGGGGGATTTCTCAGTGGGTAGGTCTGTTGGTGTATATACATTTAGTTCTCTCAAACTGTCCATCTCTTTTTTCATTGCTTCCTTCCACTTACTTTTTTCTTCTATGGGTAGCTTAAGTATGTCATCATATGTGTTGGGAGTCAGGTGTTTAGCTTGGATAGACAGTACGTAATCATCTAATCTTTTAGGGATTATGCCCCTATTGGATCTAATGGGCCTATTCTGGGGATGTTCATCGCTATGCATATACTTAGCTTCTTTTTCGGTTAATTGATCTACCTTCAAAGTGGGGTGTCCTTTTTTCCATTCATCATTAACTATTACTGGGCATTTGATTCTGTTTGTAGATGTGGATTTGGGGTTCGTATCTGATGTGTGATGTTTTGTGCGCGTGTGTGTAATATTTTTTGATTCTGGGTAAATTTCATTGAGATGTAATTTTGACCAGTTCATGTGTTCATGAAACACGGCAGATCTGGATACAATGAAGTGGTTATTTTTATCAATGAAGCGATATCCCTTGGTTCCTGATTCGTACCCCATAAATATCAGTCTTTTGGATACTTTCTCTCCTTTGCGCCTTCATTGTGAGGGCACATATACATCAGCAGATACACCAAATACGTGCAAATGCCCAATTTTTGGTTTCCTTCCATACATGAGTTCGTATGGGGTCTTGTTGATAGTGCTGGACCATAAGCGATTTATAGTGTAATTGGAATAAGTAAGGGCTTCAGCCCAGAATGATTGGTTTAAGCCAGCATCATCTAACACACATTTAACCATGGTTTGTAGCAAACCATTTTTCCTTTCAGAAACTCCATTTTGGAATGGGGAAAATGGACAAGATTTAAAGTGCAGTATTCCTTGTGATTTTAGCCAAGTTGAAAATTCGTTGGATAGGAATTCCGACCCCCTGTCAGTCATTATTTGTTTAATTTTGGTATTGTGTTGTGTTTCTACCATTTTAAAGAACTCCTTAAATTTTTTGAAAACCTCACTTTTGTGATTAAGGGTGTATACAAAACTGAATCTACTGTAGTCATCGACTATGGTCAGAAAGTATCTTTTTTTATATTTAATTGAAGGTTTTAATGGGCCTACTACATCCATATGAATTAGTTGAAAGGTTGATTGTGTGGTGCGAGTGGCTTTTTTGGGTTTTGGTTTGTTTTTAATTTTGGATGAATTGCACACAGAGCATTCTAAGTAATTTTTACAGTTCTTTATTTTTAAATCTTCGGAACACTCTAACATTTTTCGTATGACTGGGAAGCTCGCGTGTCCTAGCTTTCTGTGGAGTAAGTGACTACAATTATCGTGAATAGGTCTTCCATTGTTTAAATTTTCAGACATATTAGTATCAGTGGTCGATGCATTCTTATTATTACTTTCATCATGGCTATCTGAATTTGGCTTTTCGTTTCTTAATTGATAGTTTGCATAGACTAGTTCGTTATCTTGTGGCAGTAGGTATGTTAGTCCATCATTTGTAAATAGTTTACCTATGTTTCTGTTGTTCTTAGTCATAAATACCTTTCCACCTCTGAAAGTGGTTTCTATCTCATTCTCTATGCTTAATTTTAGGGTTGCCAATATGTTATTTGGAATTTCGGGCACAAATAGTACCCCCTCTATTTTTCCTATACCCTTTATATGCGTGTCTCCCATTCCTCTCACTAGGACTTTATTTTGGTTTGCTACTTTAATGTAATATTTCTTTTCAGTGAAGTTGCTTAATATTTCTCTATTATGAGTTGTATGGCATGTGGCTCCTGAATCTATGAGCCAGGTGTTGAGTGAATCAGACATCAAAGTGTTATTGTTTCTTATTCCATATAGTAATCCTTTCTTATTTTCTTTAGGGTTATTTCTGTACGTTTGTCTTTCTCTAGAGTGTGGTGATTCTCTTCTCCTATACCTGTAATCTGGGGAAGTTCTGTCTAAAAAGTGTATTCTCCTATCCTTGTGTTTATATGAGTCACTGTATCCTATATTCTTGGGGCAGTCTCTACTCTGATGTCTTTCAGATCCACATGTGAGACATTCATGTGGGTATCTGTCTCTGGCCCTGAAATCAGTCCTCCTTTGATTTCTACCTTCTCTTTGTTGTGTATATCGCTCTCTTCTAAGTCTATCTTCAGTAATAAGCTTATTGGTAAGGTTTTCTAAATTAATTTGCTCTATACTTAGGTTATCTATTAAGGTAATGTAGTTATCCCAGCTGTGATCTAATGAGTTAATTATAATGCTTTTCATGGTGTTGTCAGAAATGGTTTCTCCCCTTTGAATAAGGTCTGCTCTTACAGCGTTTAGATTCAAGATATGTTCACTCATGGAGGTATCATGTTTTAGTTTGGCAGAATAGAATTCCCTAGAGATTTTTGTGGTGGTGGCTACATTTTTGCTATAGAACAGTCTGAATAATTTTTGATATACTTCAAATACAGTTAAATTATGCTCTATACTGGGAAGTATACTTGGGGAAATAGAGACAATTAATATATAATATGCTTTGTGATGGAGGCAGTCTATTTCATAGGTCCAAGGCTTATTTGGTGGGTTATCAATAAAAAATAAAACATTTTCTTTCAAATATACAATCTGTAAACACTGGTCCCATTCCATTAAGTTGCTTCCATCTAATTTCAATTTTATAAAGTCTGGAGGTATTGTCCCTGAGTGTAGTGAAGTGTTATTCATGTTTAGTAGCTGTCCATGATTTAAGACCTTAGCATACTCACAATAAGGCCTGGGTATGGTAGATGTATGTCTGTATTTACTTAACTCTATGTTGCGCTGACTTGTATTTAGGTTTCCTTCTTCTTTCTTCGCAGGCTCGTTCTGGGCATGCTCAGTCCTCATTTTTCTCCAGCAGTCGGCGAGGGAGGTTCCTGTGTCTGCAGCTCCTGGGGTGAAGTCCCAGACGGCCTTCTGTTGCTCTGCTTTGTTTCCGGAGGGCCTCTGGTGACTGAAGAATGCCTGGGGTGCTGCTCTGCTCGTCGGGGAGTCTTCTCTGAGGTCGTCATTAAGTGGAGCTTGAGGCGGGCCGCCATTGCCAATGGAGCCGGGTTGTTCAGGGAGCTGCTCTTCGGTGGGTAAGTATGATTGCCAGCTTGTCTTTCTTCGGGTGGCTAGGCCTTTCTTTAGACAGTCTATTTCTTTTTGGCCTTTGGTAGATGGTAGTTTAGAATTTTCTATTTCATTTTCTGGTTGTTTGTTTGGTATTGTTCGTTTAGTCCCGAGTGCTGCAGTTAGCACCTGTATAGCATTGTCTATTTCTACTTCAGTAGGTTGAGCTTTGTTTTGTTTAAATAATTGTTTTTTATTTGTTTTTGGACTCGGGTAGTCATCTTCTTGGTAGGTTTTGTTTTTTATTTCGTAGTTTGAGGTTTGGGATTCTTTTAGTAATTGGTCGGCCATTTTGGGAGTATTAGGTGGGTAAGATGGCTGCCATGAAAAAGGCAGGAAGCTGTCGCCATCTTTGGTGTCGTTTTTGAAGTCAGGGGTTGAGTTTCTTACCTCGCAGTTTTCTTGTTTGTTATTTTCGTTATCTGCTGCTGTTCCGTGGTCGTTTATCATGCTGCGGATTTTCACAAGCAGATTTGATTCAGCTGTAGTTGTTTCTATTAATTCTAGTATTTTTCTTTTTACCTCATCTTCTTTGTTTGGTGTTGAGAACGTTTGTTCTGCTCCAGCTAGTGGTTGTTCGTTTTGTGTTAGCAGTTCATTTTCTTGTAATTGCGTTTGTTTTCTTAATATTTTCAAGTGGTGTATATTTGTCAGGAGTTAGTTGAGCTGCCATTCTTTTCGTTATGTATCTGGTGGCAGGTCTTCTTTTGTCGTTATGTGAGTCTTGCATCTTTATGTTCGGTTGGGCCTACCAAACCATCCTCTTGCTACCAATTTGTTACTAGTTTGGTTATCCTGGTTAGGCCCAATATAAGAGACTGTAGACTTTCTTGTAATAATAATATTTATTTTCTTCCTCAGGAACACATTTAGACAGCCATCAATCTGGGAGGAGTGAGAACTTATATACAGAGGACGCGGGGCTAATGGTAAGTAGTAACCAATGGTAAGTGACACAGTGACATCACGCAATGACATGTACACAAGCATACATATTTACAGATATCAGGTTAGGTATTTTCATCTGTAACATGGAAAAGCACCGGTTTGGTATTTATTTGATTTATTTGAATTTTAAAAAGCTGCGAGAGAGGCTTGGTGACTCTTGACGTCTTGTTGTCCTCCCGCCGATACGCAACTCTTGTGGTGTCCTGGTCCCGGGTCGTTTCTTCTCGACGCCCAAATCCTCATTCCACAACTCCATCACTTCTCCTTCCCCAATTTCTCTTTCTTTATCTCTTTGGCCAGTTCGCCAATCAACCGCAAGTATTCTCCAAATTTCAGCTCCTGGTCATGGTTGACGTCCAAGCTTTTCATCTTCTTATCCAGGTCCCCAACATTCTTCAAAAGAAGAGAAATTCATTCAAATATATTCCTGACTCTAGGGGGCGGTGCTCATCTCCATTTCAAAGCCGAAGAGCCAGCGCTGTCCGAAGACGTCTCCGCGGTCATGTGGCCGGCATGACTCAATGCCAAAGGCGCACGGAACGCTGTTCCCTTCCCACCAAAGGTGGTCCCTATTTTTCTACTTGCATTTTTTATGTGCTTTCAGACTGCTAGGTTGGCAGAAGCTGGGACAAGTAATGGGAGCTTACCCCGTGACGCGGCACGACGGATTCGAACTGCTGAACTGCCGAACTTTCGATCAACAAGCTCAGCGTCTTAACCACTGAGCCACCGTGTCCCTTTGTGTTCATATATATATATATACATACATACATACGTACGTACGTACATATGTACATGATGTATACGATAAGATTCCATCAGAGGGGAATGTAATGAAGAAAATATTAGAATGTGCAGAAATGGATAGACTAATGCTCGCTATTAAGGATAAAGTAGAAACTGAATATTTTTTGATACGGGATGTATTCTATCAATGGCTAGACAATAGAAACAGAAGTTAGAAAGGAGATAATAAAAAGAAAAAATGTTAATGTGGAGAGTTGCTAAAGAAGATGATGTTAAGTATGTTATTATATTATTATATTATTAATACTATGGTGATGAATATTAGAACAAATATGTGGATTATGATGGTCTAAAAATAACTGTACCCAGATCACCCGCTGTTTGATGGAAATTGAATGTTATCCTGTTTCCCCAAAAATAGGACCTCCCCGAAAATATTTAAACGCAGAGCTAGAAATCAGCTAAGACGGCAAGAGAAGCCCCAAAATAATAAGACCTCCCCGAAAATAAGGCCAAGCGCTTATTTCGGGATCCAAAAAAAATATAAGACAGGGTCTTATTTTCGGGGGAACACGGGTATCCGAATAAAAACATGAAGGGAAAAAAAAGAAGAGGAAAAAAAAGGCACGAAGGGGAGAAAAAGTATTTTAAAAAGGGGAAACGTGCTCCCCTCCGGTTCTCCTAAACCGGGTGGGGCCCCCTCTCCCCATTTCCCTCCCCCTTCCCCTGGACGTGCTCACCTTCATAAGGTTGGGCAGCTGGGCGGTGGCCAACTCTTTAAACTCGCCAGTGGTGAGTGTGGCTTGGTCGCCTTCACGGGTGGAGTACTTGAAAAAGACGTCGACGATTGTTTCGATGGCCTTCTCCAGCTCGGTCATTGCGCTGCTGGTCATGGCGAGCGAGGGGTGTCCGTCTTCGGTCAGATGGGGTGGGTGAAGCAGGCTGGCCAGGGAAGAGGGAGAGGAAGGTGGGGGGGGGGTGATGAAGAAGAAAGCTATGGGGATGCGTTTCGTGGAGACGGCGTTGAAAAGGGAGCGGTCCCAGGAGGTGCAGGCATTCCTCGGTTTACGACCGCGGTTAGAACCGGCCCCTTCGGTCGCTAAACCAGGGAGTTGTTAAGAGATCCTAAATATATTTAATCTGAAATTCATCTTAAATTTATTTTGTAGTTTCCTTCCTCCCTCTGTTTGTTTCTTTTTCTTTCCTCTCTCTCTTCTTTTTCTTTCATCTTTAAACTATCTACTAATCCATCCATCCATCTGTTTAATTGTTTTAACTATTTTATCTATTTACTAATCTTTTTAAACTGTTCCTTCCTTTCTTCCTCTCTCCTCTCTCCTTTCTTTTTTCTTTTTCTTTCTCTTCTCTCTCTTTCTTTCATCTTTAATCTAATCTACTAATCCATCCATCCATCTGTTTAATTGTTTTAACTATTTTATCTATTTACTAATCTTTTTTAACTGTTCCTGCCTTCCTTCCTCTCTCCTCTCTCCTTTCTTTCTTTTTCTTTTTCTTTCTCTTCTCTTTTTTCTTTCATCTTTAATCTAATCTACTAATCCATCCATCCATCTGTTTAATTGTTTTAACTATTTTATCTATTTACTAATCTTTTTTAACTGTTCCTTCCTTCCTTCCTCTCTCCTCTTTCTTTTTCTTTCTCTTCTCTCTTTTTCTTTCATCTTTCATCTAATCTACTAATCCATCCATCCATTTATTTTCTTCCTTCCTTCTCTTTCTTTCTCTCTTTCTTTCTCTTTTTCTCTCTCTTCTCTTTCTCTTTCTTTCATCTTTAATCTAATCTACTAATCCATCCATCCATCCATTTACGAATCTTTTCTAACTGTTCCTTCCTTCCTTCTCTTTCTTTCTTTTTCTTTCTCGTTTTTCTCTCTCTTCTCTTTCTTTTTCTTTCATCTTTACTCTAATCTACTAATCCATCCATCCATTTACAAATCTTTTCTAACTGTTCCTTCCTTCCTTCTCTTTCTTTCTTTTTCTTTCTCGTTTTTCTCTCTTCTCTTTCTTTCTTTCATCTTTATTCTAATCTACTAATCCATCCATCCATTTACAAATCTTTTCTTCCTTCTTTCCTTCCTTCCTTCTCTTCCTTTCTTTCTCTTTCTTTCTTCTTTCTTTCTTCTCTCTTTTCTCTTTCTTTTTCTTTCATCTTTAATCTAATCTACTAATCCATCCATTCATTTATGAATCTTTTCTAACCCTTTTCTTTCTTTCTTTCTTTCTTTCTTTCTTTCTTTCTTTCTTTCTTTCTTTCTTTCTTTCTTTCTTTCTTTCTTTCTTTCTTTCTTTCTTCCCCTGTCTGCCTATCACACCTACCTACTAGCTCTGTCTGTCTGTCAGTCTTGGCTTTCCAACGATTAACTGATCCCCAAACGTTCATTCACAGATTGGAGTAAGCCAAACCCACCTCCTCCAAGCCCCAGCTGCCCTCCAAGCGAAGGAAAATCCCAGGCCCCCCCTTCCCTCTCCATCCCTTGTGTCCCATCCCGTCCCCCACGGCCGCTTCCTGCAGCCACCTGGCCACTTACCTCAACCTTGGTCTCCCTTGCAAGGAAAACCTTCAGGTGGGGAGGCTTTATAGGGCCGTCACTGGGAGGTGGGGAAGGGAAGTTTACTCTGGAGTATTTGACCCAGCCTGCTCTCCTCCCCTCTTGGCAAACCTCCTCCAAAGCTTTTTCACCCATAAGCAAGAGTTTTCTTTGGAAACTCTGATTCTAAACCCTAGTGGCCAGGATTTAAACAGATCGGAATTCTCTCTTGGCTTGGCCCAGGGACCAGGAAGGGGCGAGATGATTCTTGTTTAGCCTGATGGAGGGACAGGATGTGTCCCTGGCTGGTTGGGTTGGGCCGGGAAGGCTCTGTCCCCAAATTATTTTTGTTCCCTGGGTCGAAAGTTTCCCCACTTTTGCCTGGAGCAAAATCAAGGAAGCTTCTATCCAGGGTTAAATGATGCTTGAGAAGGGAAGGGAAGGAGAAAGGAGGAAGAAGGAGAAAGGGAAGGAGAAAGGAGGAAGGGAAAGGAAGGAGAAAGGGCAGGAAAAAGGAGGAGAAAGGGAAGGAAAAAGGAGGAAGGGAAGGAGAAAGGAGGAAGAAGGAAAGGGAAGGAAAAAGAAGGGAAGGGAAGGAAAAAGGAGAAAGGGAAGGAGAAAGGAGGAAGGGAAAGGAAGGAGAAAGGGCAGGAAAAAGGAGGAGAAAGGGAAGGAAAAAGGAGGAAGGGAAGGAGAAAGGGAAGGAAGAAGGAGGAAGAAGGGAAGGGAAGGAAAAAGGAGAAAGGGAAGGAGAAAGAAGGAAGACGGGAAGGGAAGGAGAAAGAAGGAGGAAGGGAAGGAACAGAAAGGAAAGGAAAGGAAAAAAGAGGAAAGAAGGAGAGGAGGAAGGAAAGGCAAAAAGGGAGAGGGAAGGGAAAGGAGTGGAGGTGAAAAGAGAAGAAAGGAAAGGAAAGGTGAAAAAAGAGGAAAGGAAAGGAGAAAAGAGAAAAAAGAAAAGAAAAGAAATGAAAGGGGAGTTCTGTTGCACGGGGCAACTCCAAATACGATACAAAAACGCAGCCCATTTTTAATATAAAACTCTTCAGATTTGAACCTTTTCTGATATAAAACCTGGCTCTGGAGAGTTCCTGGGGAGCAGATCTGACTTACGTTTGCCCTCTGCAGAGACTCAACTGAATGTAAACTTTTTCTGTTGCTCTCCAGCCGATTTGGGAAATCAGAAGAGAGGGGTGGAAAAAAACCACAAACCCATATCTTCTCAGATATAATGGAGAAGGAAGGAAGGAAGGAAGGAGTAGAAAGAAAGAAAAAGATAAGGGAGAGAGAAAAAAGGGAGAGGAACAGAAAAAGTAGAAAGAAAGAAGAAAGAAAGAAGAGTAGAAAGAGTAGAAAGAAAGAAAAAGATAAGGAAGGGGGAGAGAGAAAAAGGGAGAGAAAGAAAGAAAAAGTATAAAGAACGAAGCTGGCTTAAAAATTAATAAAGATAAGACCAAAATGTTAACGAAAAATGTAACAGGAAAGCAAACAGAGGAATTAATTAAAGAATTAGGATTACAAGGAGTAAAAAAGGTTAAGTATTTAGGCATATATTTGACAGCTAGATGCTCAACTATAAAGGAGAATAATTATGTAACTTTAGTTCAACAAATAAAAGAAGATTTAGAAAAATGGGGGAAACTGAAATTATCATTATTAGGAAGGATAGCAGCTATAAAGGTGAATGTTCTGCCGATGCTGCTTTATTTTATTTCAGATGATTCCAGTAAAATTGGACAATTTTTTTCCCGTAAATTTGAACAAGATAACTACAAAATTTGTGTGGGAAGGAAAAAAGCCAAGAATTAAATTAAGTACTTTGCAGGACGATAGAGGCAGAGGTGTATTTGGACTCCCAGCATGGGAAACATATTACAGAGCAACAAGTTTGACATGGATCAGGAAATGGGTGAATCTGAAAAAAGACTATTGACCTTGGAGGGACATAATTTGTTGATGGGGTGACACGCCTTCTTGTGGAACCCCAGGAACAAAAAACATAGGTATTTTTGCAATCATATATTAAGAGATTAATTAATTTATACATGGCAGGAAATTAAAAGTAAATACTATATGAAAGTTCCTGGATAGTTATTCACAATGGAGGCGATGATACACCCCAATATCTTGGCAATTCAAAAAATGGTAAGATATAATGAAATATTAGATCCCCAGGAAATATTAAAAACACAAGAAGAACTCGGAGAGCAAGGAAATTCGAAAAATGGTAAGATACTATGAAATTTTGGATTCTCAAGGAACATTTAAAACACGAGAGGAACTCAGAGATCAAGGGATACAGATAGACTGGTGGCCCCTATCTTCAGATAAAAACAAGATATAAAAAAAATCAAGAGGAAGGAGTAATTGAATTAAAACCGAATCAGTTGGAGAAGCCACGGAGGAAAAAATGATTTCAAAAATTTACAAATATCTATTGGAATTTGATCTGGCAGAGGAATTAGTAAAGGGACAAATGATAGCATGGGCAAGAAATATTGGGCATAACATAGAACTGGAGGACGGGAAAAAGTATGGGAAAATAACTATATTATAACAAAGTCAGTGGTTTATAAAGAGAATCAATACAAAATGTGGTATAGATGGTATCTGGCCCCTTCGAGATTAGCAAAAATGTATTCAAATTTAACTTCAACCTGTTGGAAGTACAAACAGGCACAGGGTACTTTCTTCCACATCTGGTGGCTTTGCCCAAAAATTAGTAAGTATTGGGAAAAAGTAAGAATTTGGCTAATAGAAATAACATCGGAAAAAATAGAACTCAAACCAGAGATTTTTCTACTAGGGATGATTAAAGAAAACTATAGGAAATAAATAAAGTACTTAATATTACACATAATCACTGCAGGCAGATTAGCGCTTGCCCAATATTGGAAAACTGATCAACTGCCAACAGACCAATTGATAATCCAAAAAATCTAATTGCGTGGAAATGGACAAACTAACTTTTGAAATGAAGGACATGGTAGACCCAAAATGTTATATAGCGTGGAATAGGTGGTATGATTGTATAACTTGTAGAAATGAGAGTAAATGTAAAATTTTGCACGATAATAATAATTAATAAATATGCACCGTTAATAAGATAATGGACGTGTGGCCAAAGTCACTTTTTCTTTTTAAGTATTGTCGTTCATATTAATATATATGCCTCTTGTATATACATAGTATAGTATTTTACTTTTATATGTTTAATAAAGTTTTGTTTTTTTTAAAAAAAAAAAAGGAAGGGAGAGAGAAAAAAGAAAGAGAGAGAAAGAAAGAAAAGAGTAGAAAGAAAAAAGATAAGGGAGAGAGAAAAAAGGGAGAGAAAGAAAGAAAGAAAAAGTAGAAAGAAGAGTAGAAGGAGTAGAAAGAAAGAAAAAGATAAGGAAGGGAGAGAGAGAAAAAGGGAGAGAAAGAAAGAAAAAGTAGAAAGGACAAAGATCGAAAGAAAGAGAAAGAAAGCAAAAGAAAAAGAAAAGGAAGGGAGAGAGAGAAAAAAGAAAGAGAAAGAAAAGAAAGAGTAGAAAGAAAGAAAAACAAAAAGAAAGGGAGAGAGAAAAAAAGAAAAAAGGAAGAAGGGAGGCAGGGAGGAGAAAGAAGGTAGATAGATATAGAGATACATAGAGATAGATAGATAGATAGATAGATAGATAGATAGATAGATAGATAGATAGATAGATAGATAGATCGATCGATCCTGGGTGAGTTATTCTCACCCAGGATAGGGAGGGCTCCTCCTGCCCACCATCAGGTTAAAAAAAACAATTGTGCAGTTTCCCTTTTAAGACTTGCGGTGTGAAGCTGCGACTCAGCTACTTTCTAAAACAAAACAAAACAAAAAAAAAACAATTAGCATAAATTTCTTCCTCAGCCGCCCTGAGTCTTCAGAGAGGGGCGGCATATAAATTGAATTAATTAAATTAAATTAAATTAAATTAAATCAGTCACAAACAGAGCAGGGAGGGACCCTGGAGGTCTTCTAGTCTAGTCTAGAGGGGAGAAGGACCAGGGGGTGACAAGATGGCAGGAGTCTCGTATTTGAGGGGCCGCCCCAAAGAAGAGGGTGGGGGGGGGGTTTCCCTATTCTCCGAAGCACCAGAAGGCAACGGATGGAAGCTAACCAAGGAGAGAAGCAACCTAGAACTAAGGAGGAATTTCCTAAGAATTCATCAGTGGAACCGCTTGCCACCAGAAGTAGTGGGTACTCTCAACCCTGGAGGTTTTTAAGAAGGGACTAAGGCAGCCATGTGTCTGGAATGGTCTAGGCTAGGGTGTTCTGCTTGAGCAGAGGGCTGGACTAGAAGACCTCCCAGGTCCCTTCCACCTCTATTCCGACAAGTCCAACCTCTGCTAAGGTGGGACTAGAACTCCCAGTCTCCTAGTGATTGGCCCAAAGTCACCCAACTGCCATTCATGCCAAAGTGGGACTAGAACTCACCCTCTCCTGATAATTGGGCCAGTCAACCAATCGACTTTCATGCCTAAGGTGGAAACTAGAACTCCCAGTCTCCTAGTGATGGGCCTACAGTCACCCAGTCAGCCAGAACTCCCAGTCTCCTGGAGATTGGCCCAAAGTCACCCAGCCGGCTTTCATGCCAAAGTGGGACTAGAATTTTTACATGTCGGAATCTGGGAAAACAGGTCAGGGAGACGGACGAGCGCCGGGGGGGGGCTGAGATACCGCCGCCCGGTATCCTTTGACTCGGGGGAATCGAACGGCACTCCAAATCCTTGTCCGGTTTCTGTTTTTTTCCAGACCCAGAGAGATCCGGAGGGGGTGGACAAGATCATGCATGATCTGGACGAGAACGGCGACGGGGAAGTCGATTTCCAGGAGTTTGTGAAGCTGTTGGTCAACCTAATTATAGAAAGAAACTCTTCCTTTTTGGAGGAAACCTGAGCTTGCCGGCGGCCCTTAGCGGGAATGCAAAGCCCGGGGGTTTTGGGGGGGGCCTCAAGCCCAGCTGTTCCCTTTTCAATTTTAAAAACAAACTTTATTAAACATATAAAAGCAAAATAATACACCATGTGTATACAAAACACATATATATCCATATAAACAACACTACATAAAAAGAAAGTGATTTTGGTCACATATCTGTTATCTTATTGATGGTGCATTTTTTTTTAAAAAAATTGTTATTCAGAATTT